GGGCTTGCAGGGTCAGGGGAAGTGATTATCACAATGCGTTCAGATGGGGAACCGGCTTTGGTGTCGTTTCTTGAGCGTTGTTGCCGTGAGTTGCCGAATGCCTTGCTTGAACAAGTTCCTGTCGACAGGCATGCCCCCAACGCGGAGCGGGCAATCAGGACTTTGAAGGAGCTTGCTCAGGTCCAGCTTTGTTCTCTTGAGAAGGTTGGACTGACGATTGCTGTGAAAGGGATTCCTTATCTGTTTTCGCACCTGAGTGTTGCACACAACAGGTATCATCTTGATGAAGGGTCCTCTTTAACCCCTGAGCAACGTTGTCGGCAGAAGCGGTTGCCTGCACATCCCACATACATCTTTGGGGCTTCCGTGTTGTGTCTGCCACCTCCTTCCATTGCCCATCTTGTGAACGGCCGCTTGTGCAAAGGGTCGTACATGGGTCCCGAAGTTGCGTCAGGGAGCCACTGGGTCAGGGTTCAGTTGAACAACGGCGAGATGAGGGTTGTGAGGTCACCCAAAGTTCGCATGTTGATGCCTCTAAGGTATGAGGTCGGTTTGCTGCGTGGGGTTTGCCGTTTGTTGCCTGGAAGGGAGCTGCCCGCAGAAGGACCAGCCGTTGACCCGGACAAGTTGGCATCCTTGCCGCTACCGAATACAAACACGAAAGGGCCTCCGAAGGCCTGGGTTGAGGAACATGGTCGGACGCCTAGATGCCGAGCCTGCAAGATCAAGGGTTTTGACATGGATAAGGTCATGCACACACCAGTCTGTAGGGCGCGATACGCAAAGTTCCTAAGGGAAACCTTTGACCCGAAGGGTGCACTTGAAAGGGATAGGGAGATCGATGCCGAGTTAGGGTTTGATGCTCCAGTGCCCGATCTTGGTGAGCAAGGGTTTGAAGGAGGTATCGGGGATTTTGTTGAGTTGCCTGGCGACGTTGGAATGGACGAGGCGTTGGACCTCGACTCAATGTATGAGCCTTCTATGCCTGGTGACGACGATGACAATCGGGAACTGCCCGAAATGGGTGAGGGCGAAATCACCAATGACGAGATCCAGGATCTCATGGAGGTCGAGCCCGAGCCACTGGAAAGGGTTCCAGAGGGGGTCGCCAGTGTCTTTGCGAGCCGTATTGAACATAAGGAAGCTATAGGCAACATTGCGGCTGCAGCCCAGCCTGCGAGTGGCGCGCCAGACGATGGCGAGATCATTGTTGAGCTGGGTGGGGGGCTTGTCAAAGTGCAGAGGCCTTGTGCATCTCGTGACGACGTCACGGAAATCGAGCTTGATCTAGGGTTGACCTATGATGGTATGATCAAGGAGCTGAAAGCACTCGAAAGTTTGGCGGTTGGGGACATGATGTGGCATGTTAACCCAGGGCAGCGTGTGATCAGCACCCGTTGGGTTGTGGCAGCCAAGACTGAGCGGATCGAGGGTCGGGAAACACCTTTGGTTCGTTGCAGGATAGTTGCCCGGGACTACTCCACAGGCCCTTCTGCGGCACAGTTAGGGATTAGCTCGCCGACGGCATCTGCCGAGGCGTTGAAGTTATTCCTTGCAGTCGTGGGAGCACAGGGTTTTAACATCCTAGGGCTCGACGTGTCAACGGCTTTTCTGTTTGCACATCTCAAGGGTGAGCAAGTGGTGGTCAGTTTGCCTGAGGGTTGCCGGGGTCCATCGGGGGAGAAGTTGTTCCTAAAACTCAAGAAAGCCCTTTATGGGCTCAGGTCCGCCGCGCTCCATTGGACACGCCATTTGTCGGGTCTGCTCAAGAAGCTCTTTGACATGACGGCATGTCCCACGGAACCATGCCTCTTCGTTGGGTCCTACAAAGGACAATCTATCTACATCTTGAGCTACGTCGACGATTTGTTGTTGGCAGGGCCTAACACTGATGACTTGTATGAAATGGTCGAGGGTCTGCGTAAGGAGCTGAAGCTCAAGGTCACTGCAGATTTGGCCAAAGATGGCAAGATTCATTTTTTGGGCAGGGAAGTCTTCCGGTCAGAACCGGGAGGGGACCTCAAGTTTGGAATGGATCCAGGTTACATGAAGGATGTTCTGGAAGAGTACAAGCTTGAGAACGCCAAAGGAGTCCCTACTCCTCCCTGCTTGAGGGATTTGCTTGACAAGGCTCTGGACGAGCCAAGCTTAAGGGTTCCTCTCACCGCGGAAGCTGCAGCCCGCTACCGTCGGGCACTGGGAAAGTTGAGCTGGCTCTCAACCACCCGCGGGGACCTTGTCTACTACGTGTCAGTGTTAGCTCGGGGCCAGAGTGCTCCACAGGAGGTGCATGAGCGCGCCATGAGGGCAGTGCTTCGGTATCTCAAGACAGTCGTTGACTACTGGCAGCTTTTTCCACGCCAGACGCTGAAAGAACTCGTTCTCCACTCCTTTGTGGATGCCTCCTGGGGCAGTGAGCGGTCAGTGGACCGGCGTTCGATCTCAGGGGGATGTCTCATGCTGGGCAAAGCATGCATCAAAACGTGGGCAAGACTCCAACAATCGGTCGCCTTGTCGTCCGCAGAAAGTGAGTTGTATGCTCTCGTGGAGGGTGCGAAGGAAGCGCTTGGGGCTAGGTGCGCTGTTGAGCATATCTTAGGGTGTGCTCCGGTTGTGCCGACACTCTATTGCGACAGCGAGGCTGCAGTGGCCATCAGCCATACCGAAAGCCTCCGAAAGCTTCGCCATATAGACATCAGATCTTGTTTTCTTCAGCAGGAGGTTCAGTCTCAGTCCCTCCGTGTGGTGTCGGTGCGCGGCACTGACAATCCGGCCGATATATTTACCAAAAACCTCGACTTATCCTCTACGCTTCGGCATATGCATCATATCGGGTTGCGCTCCACCTTGCTTCCAGAGGGGGTAAAGGGGTTGGCTACGTCGATTTTGCGTTTTTGCGTTGCTCAAGGGGGGGTCTCTTCGCTGAGGGAACGGTTTCGGCCTAAACAGGGACAAAAGTGGCTGTTCGTTGAGTTTTGCGCTCCTCTCGAGTCAGGGTTCTCCAGGGTCTGTACTAGTGAGTTTCCCAGAATTCACATGTTGACCGTGACGGCCTCCGATGATGGGACAAAGAGGTCCACGAGGGACGATTTGATCGACATCACGAGGGAAGCAAGGGGTCGCGGGATGAGGATTTTCTTCTGGAGTTCCACGCCATGTACGGGAGGGTGTCCTTATCAACGAATGAACCTCCAGAGATACGGGAGTGAGTATCAGAAGCATCTGGATAGCTTGTGGGCTGTGCACAGGAAGCTGTGGACCACCGTCAGGGAACTGTGTAGCCTATCCGATCATTGGGCCATTGAGTGGCCGGTGAAGTGCGCTTACTGGGGCTGGAAGCAAACCCAGAACTTCTTGAAGCGACAGAACTACGCGATTCACGACACTCGTGTGGATGCGTGCTCTGTGGGGCTAAAGGGGTGTGATGATCTTCTTATAGCTAAGCGCTGGAGGGTTATGGTTACGCATGAGGGGGTCGCAGTCCGGCTTGGTGCTCTTCGGTGCGATGGCTCGCACGAGCATTCGCTGCGCTTTGTCCTGCGAGAAACGCAACATTATCCCGATCTACTGTGTAGGAGGGTTTTGGAAAGCTTAGGGTGACTAAGTGTCTCTCCGCAGCCTTTTCTTCTCGAACTCTCTTTTCTGCAAGTTTTGGGTAGCCTTGCCGGAATGGATCACTATGGTCTCCAGGCGTTCAAGGATGCCGTGGTTTCTTACTCTGAGACTGGTGGGCAGCTTAACGCACAGCTCTTGGAAAAGCTGCTCCTTTTCGTGTTTGCCACAGGGTTTGCCGCAGGGTGCGTCTTCCTCGGGGTTGGTCAGTACCTGCGCGCTCGCTATCTGACTAAGTCAGATGATTGGCCAGAGATTTTTCTTACCTCAAGAGGTGTTTGCTATCACGTGAAACGTGACTGCGCAAGCATCCGCCACACCACTCCGTCTGTACGCAGAATCTGTAGTTTCTGCTCAAGGGAGCCGTCCAGACTTCAAGTTTCGACCAAGAAGGATGGCTGACCCGAACGCCCAGAGGGGGTGTAAACGAATATCCTCATTTGGAGGATATGGTGGGCGTCCGGCTCAACTCTTTTAAAGTTGCTAGAACCAGGCCGTGTCCACAGCCAGTTACCTAACACTTGGAGTGTGAGGGACACTTTTCGCTTTAAGGCTGTAGGTCCTGGTAGTTCTCCTGTCTCCGGACGTGTTTAGAGGAGTTTTGGTAGCACCTGAGTGCTTCTTGGCCTTGGGGAAGTACTAGAACTTCGAACCACCTTTAGGCAGTTTGCACCTTCAGTTTTCACCAGCAGAGTTCGGTGTCCACTTTGGCTCAAGACCGAAACTGCGTGTGGAGTGACAGCAAAACGAAGGCTCTGTCCGAGTGTTGTGCTTGGTTGGGGGTTTTGCTAGGGCCTCTTGCAGTTTCCGTCTTTTTCGTGGTAGCGGAGCGTGTCTGGTCCAAGGGACGCACGCGTCACCGCTTTGAAGGTGAAAAGAGCCCAATACGCGAGTTGTGGAAAGGTTTGAAGGGTTTTCGTCGCGTTGGTGAGGTATGGAGGGACGAGGGAGACCATCGTTTTACGACATGGCCAGAGACGACACTCCTGGAGCTGTCAGGCGTAGGAGTCGTGGTTCCGATATGCCTTACCCAGAGAGACGGACGAGAACTGCTTCTTCTCCAAGGTTGGGAGCAGGGTTGGGAGCTGCTTTTAGCCCCATCTCCAATCTGTCTGCTGTTGGGTCACCAGTGTA